GTGTTCAGTAAGTATTCTAAGTCTCCCTACATGAAGCAAATAAAATATGTACTTTAAAAAAAAAGCACATAATTGAGAAAAAAATGTGTTTGCTTTACATAGAATGTCTTGTGGGCAAAACAGACTGCATTACTGGTACAGATGTGTAGTGTCAACTTAAGACTCGTTGTGGGGGCAAACATATTAATTTTCCTCCCACTTTCTAAGTTCTTCTAGCTGAGCTAATAAATTAACAAAGACAAATTATGAGGAGAAATGTCCAAAGTGTACTATGTGAATGTACAGTCGGGGTGCCATCCATAATGAGACCCCATGAAGCGTTAGGCAATTAAAGTTTATATGCTATTATCCAAAAGGAGAAAGACACCGGTGATGGGAAATAGTAGGTAATTTACAGGTAGATAAAAAGTACTACACACTTGCAGGCAAATTTCTGCAAGGCAACCCGGAAACAAGGGCAATGGGGGAATGTAGTGGGCAGGCTTCTTTTGGGAGCCTTTCTGTCTAATGTTAAGGTGAATGTGCCCAGTTGAAATGGAAGGCTAATAGTCCTACAGTTGCCCATCCCCAGGTGAATATGGTGAGTCCCTTCATGGAGCAGGTTGTTCAGTCTTAATCTCTTATGCAGAAAGGGGGAGGGTCTCTTTTGTTTCATAGTGACCAGCTTAAAATCGATTTCCTGCCCAGCCAGTGTGGCTCAGTGTTTGAGTGTTGAGGTGAATCAGGTCAAGGTTCAATTCTTTGTCAGGGCACGTGCCCAGGTTGCAGCCTCAATTTCCAGTGTGAGGCGTGCAGGAGGCAGCTCATCAATGATTTTTTTCTCATCACTGGTGTTTCTCTCTCCCTCTCCTTTCCTCTCTGAAATCAATGAAAATATATTTAAAAAAATAATAAAATCAATACCCCAAAAGGCACATTTTGGTGAGGCCAAACTTTGGTCCCTTTCAGTGTCATTCCCTCCTTAGAAAAATGAAATAATTTGTTCTCTCGCTTTCTCATGGGAGTCAATCTGATTGTTTCACTTAGAGGAGTATAAACTATGGACATCTATTTTTAATAGGTGTTTCCTTATTACTCCTAGAGAGAAAGCGTTGCAAAAAGACACTTAAGTTATGGAAAATAATAACAGTAGTTATAATACCTAATATTTCCAGAAATGTTTTCTTTCCACGAAGTTATTTAGAATTAGAATCTATAACAATAAAAGTGTAATATGCTTTTAGATGAAGCTGGGGCTGCGAGGGAACCCTGGGTCCTGGTGCCTGGCGGCCAGAGGAAGGAGGGCTTACTTTTGCACGAATTTCGTGCATTGCACCTCTAGTACTTATCATAATGTTCCATTTGAGAAAACTAAGGCCCAGAAAAGGTAGGTAATTTGGGCAATATCACAGAGGTGATACATTATGGGGCTTTGGTTCGAACCAAAGTCTAGCTGACATCATTGTGTATCTGTTGCTGAGTAATAGGTAATGACAGAAATCTCAGTGCCATACGACAGTAATCATTCATTTCTAGATCCCAAATCTGTGGTTTGATTGGGAGCTGGCTGACCAGTCTTAGATTGGCTGGGCTTGGCTCCGGCTTCAGATTGGAGAGGAGTAGTTTCCTATGTCTTTCTTCCTTTTTGGACCAGGGAGCTATCTGTGACTGACCTGGTAGAAGAGGGCACATCTAACCAAGAAAGCCTGTTTTAAACACCAGCTTCCATCATATTTCCTAAAATTCCATTAGCCAAACCTCAACATAATGGAGTCAGGAAGGAGTCTCTTCTCTTGGAGATGAGAGATAGAGGAGGGAGTGACTATTTACTAAATAACCATCCGATGTAGTTTAAAAGCTGATGTGTTTTCCGCCCTTCATAATTTATAAATACTGAAAGTATACGTGGGATGACATTCCTGCCTGGGAGTCAGTGATCTTGTGTATGCTTGTCATGGGGGCCATATACCAACCTGTCGTTTCTATGACTGACTGCAATTGCCCCTTTTCTTTGCTCTAGCAGTGGTTGTCAACCTTTCTAATGCCAAGATCCTTTACTATAGTTCCTCATGTTGTGGTGACCCCCAACAATATAATCATTTTTGTTGCTACTTCATAATTGTAATTTTGCTACTGTTATGAATTGTAATGTTCTCAACGGGTTGAGAACTGCTAGCAGGGTCACCTAAGACAATCAGAAAACACAGATATTTACATTAACAGAAGCAAAATCACGATTATGAAGTAGCAACGAAAATAATTTTATGGCTGGGGTCACCACAACATGAAGAACTGTAGTAAAGGAAGGTTGAGAACCACTGCTCTAGAGGATATTTGACTTTTTTCTCTCCTCTGCTGTTATTTGTCTTTATTCTCACTCTGGAAGCAAAGATCATCATTGGGTTAATCTAGAAGACTATATTGATGATCCCTAACTGGGAATGGACTCAATTTTATTCTGCTTTTATACTATTTTAATTGGCTGAAGGCTTTGATGGAAAAATATTTCTAATACAAGGTCTAACATATGCAATAGAAATCATGTGCCCAAAGTAGCAGGTCACAGTCCTTCTAGAAACGGCAGATTACAAGGATGATGCCAACTCAAATGTTGCAGCCTCAGAAGCTTCTGACCTTCCTCCATCTCATGCTCAGTAGCTGCCAGGAGGCTGAGATGCTCCTGAGAGGCAGTCGGTGGGGAACTTAGATATCAGCCTTGTGGGTTTAGAGGTAGAGATTTTGCAGTTCCCCCTTCCATCCTATACTTTTTATATTTGCTAATTTGAGTATTAAACCAATACCACACTTAAAAATAAATAGGGTAGAGAAAGAATTTTACTTTTAGTCCAAACCATATCAAAACTTCATGGCTAGAAAAAGGGCATTTAAAAAGTTTCTATGACTAGGTTTTCTCCTTCAACAAATGAAAACTATAGAACTTTTCCTTGCCGTTTGCTATTGAATTTTAACTATGTCACAAGAAGGGACTCCAAAGATTAATCCCCAAAGGAATAAATTAAGTCAAGTGATTTGCCTGGTAAGTGTTGTCCTTTCATTTTTTAGGTTTATAAGTTCTCTGTGGCCTTCAGAACTCAAGGCTCTGTCTCACTCTGCTTCTTGGCTCACAGTTGGCTGATGGTCTTTCTTCAATGTCTCCCCATTTCTCTTTGATTTATGCTAGATTAGTATATGATGTGATTGCTACAGCTCTTTTGTTACTTTTTCTTCTGCATTTTGTGTGTGTGTGTTATTGATTCACAGCTATGCCTTAGAGCATCCATAAAAGATTTTACATGTCTTCCTTGATTTACCAGATTATACACATAAGCATACCCATGTTATAACTGCAGTGCTTTACAGTCTTCCTATCATGTTCAAATACTTTCATGACTAGTAACTTCCTTGAGCATCATAATTATGCCATGCATTATTCTATCAGAGATTGAAAAAAAAAAAGTTTTCGGCGACCTTCTCCAGAAACTTGGCAGTAACTGTGTCATAAATAATGGGACCAAGATCACTTACATCCGGCTTCATCCAAGATGAAATAGTCTGTGTCTGTAGAAAGCCGCTGGCACCTTCAGGCTGCCAAGGCATAGGGAGGTGTGCTGGCCGCAGCAGAATGAGGTGCCTATCAGAGCTGCAAGAAAGCAGTTGGTAGTGTGAATGGGAAATATGTAAAGGACTTCAGGTTTTTGGAGGACAGGCAGCATAGCAGTGCCAACGATTATAGGTGTGAAGGAACCCACATCTAAATCGGTCTATAGGTTGGATCGCTACCTTCAGTTTATTTAAAACATGGCATTTGGAGAGAGGTAAAATACCAGCACACTGTGTTTTTTGCTTTTTTTTTTTTTTTTCCCGCTGAAGCAATTTGTTGGGTCTGTTTGCAAAAGGATTTGCTGTAGCGGGGCGGAAAGAGGCATGTGCCTGTGGTGAGAGGTCTTCTTTGTAGTGTTAATTTGAATAGAAATAATCATCCGTATTGATTTATAAGGATGGAATTGAGTGGAGACATTGATTCAAAAGAAGAGAACAGCTGTGAACAGTTTGATTTATGGTGGTATTAAAGCAAACGCTTCAGTTTCAGTTTGTTCAGTCTAAGGTTGCATGTCCAGTGGTTAGCTGTTGAAATATATTTAGCACAGAGCTGTCAATTTCTCGATGAGAGGCACACCTGATAGAATGCATAATTGATTCTATTGGGGCCAGGACCGCATTTTGTGCTTGATACATGCAAAGCTGCTACCTGCATATCAGTGGTTCTTAGGAGAAGAGTGCTTTAGAATGAAATGAATAACCTGATTGGACACTAATTTTGTGAGACAAGAATGTAAATGCAGCGGGTAATCAGAGACAGTTAAATAGCGCCGACCTATTTCAGAACCCTTGCCGCTCATTTGCAAGATATCCTTCCCATGAAGAGAATGCAACTCAACTGCCCCGGGGAATAGAACACTCCCAGTGGTCCGTTATGATGTGAATAAAACAAAGCAGCCTATCGTTATGACATGGGGTCTCTCATCAGGTGATCACGATGCTTCCTGAAAGCCTGGGTCTCCTCCTAGTGACTTCAGTGTGCTTTTCTCAGTTCTCCCACAGCCCTTTCTGTATTTCCTGATTACATTGTGAGTCACACTGACTCAGAGTTGTTGCCCAAAATGGTTATCTCTCTACCTTAAGACCATAAGCTACTCCAGGACATGGTCCAAGTCTTTTCCAGCTTGTAACATGGATGGATATGTGTACTAAATATTGGATGAGTCAATTATGTCAGTGTCAGTGTGTCAAATATATACTGATGCCTCCGGGAGCCTTCAGTTTATAATCAGATTCTAGCATCACCCCCTCAGACAGTTCCGGTTCTGAATTCCCCACCTCTACCTTGACACGTCTGGACCAGAGAGATAATCTGCACGTATGCTCGGAGTTTGGGTGAATTATTCATTTTGAATCCCCATGGAAACAGATTCTTTCGGTGATCATTATATGGAACTGACAGCATGCATTTCCACAGGGAGATGACTTCGGCCACTTCACCTATCATTTTAAAATGGGACCCCAAGAGTTTGGAAATCCGGACGCTCACAGTGGAGAGGCTCCTGGAGCCGCTTGTCACACAGGTAAGGGATGCGCGAAAACACTTCACCGTGACATGTGTGTATGTTCCCGTTGTGACAAGTGCACATGTCTATCATGACTCTCCACAAACCTTAGAACCCTTAGGAGGGAATACATCATGATGTCATGCAGGTTACTTACTGTGTATTACCGCCTGAACTGTGGACAATTTTAGTGCACAACGAGATTTCAAGTGCCTTGAAGAAACACCCTTCACATGATTTCTTAAAATTAAGTTGATGAGATAATTAAAGAGGGGGACTTGGTGAAGGGGACTCTCATTGGGATTACTGGGTTCCAAGTCTTATTAAATAAACCATTCTTAGCATACTTGTGGAGGCTGGTGCACAGTTCGGGAGAACTGTATCTATTGCTGCAGAGCAAAGGTTATTTAGTGAGTTGCTTTTTCTTTACTTTACGAGGGAGGATGCATCGTGCTGGAATGATGACATGTTCCATTTTTGTGTTGTCACATTGCCGATGACTGTCAACGGAAGAAACTTTCTCGGGGTTGTTAATTTTTAAAAGTTGACTTTTGTGACTTGTGAAGTGCATTCTCTGCTATATTAACTCAGTAATGTATGAATGTAAAAAAATTCAAGATTTTTATGGTATACTTTTGAGAAGCATTATCCTAAATTAAGTAGAGGCCTCTCTTATTGGTTTTCTATAGCTGCCATAGCAAAGTACCATAAACATAGTGGTTTAAAGCTTCCTAAGTTTATTTTCTTACGGTTCCAGAGGTCAGAAGTCCGTAAACTAAGGTTTAGGGCCGCGTTTCTTCTGGAGGCTCCGGCAGAAAATCAATTTTCTTCTCTTTCCTGGCTTTTAGAGGCCAAACGGCTTCTTGGGCTGCTTTCTCCATATTGTAAGCCAACAATGTAACATCTTTTAAATCTGCCCCTGATTGTGACCTCTGATTCTGTCATCATACCTCCTCTTCCCTTCCTTTTTTTTTTTTTTGCATGCATCATTTTACTTTTTTATTTATTTTTTGAAGTATTACAAATAGTAGTACATATGTCTCCTTTTTTTCCCCATTGACCTTCCCCTGGCCTTCACTACCCAGCGTCTTGTATCCATTGGTTATGCTTATATGCATGCGTACAAGTCCTTTGGTTGATCTCTCTCTTTTTTTTTTTACATTTAAAGCATTTATTTTTACATTTATTATAGCATATATTGAAAAAAAATCCACTTATAAGTGGACCTGTGCAGTTCACTCCCTTCCTCTTATAAAGACCACCAGCATGCTTGCATTGGACTCACTGAGAGGCCCCAGAGTAAGGTGGACATATTTGTGGGTAATTATTCAGTTTGTTAGAGTCTGTCCTCTGCCCTCCCTACAAATTCACATCCTTTCTGCAATAATTAAAACATAATGCCTGGTGTAAAGTAAATGTCGAGTCAACATATTTTCCATTTTTATTTTTTATGGTTATATAGTCAGACTCATAAACCAATATTGCATAAATTAGTGAAAATTATATGAGGGAATATAGAGTGGGCAAGCACAGTATTTATTACCCATAAACTTAATTTTTTTAATAAAACAGCTTATTGAATTATTATTGACATAAAAACTGTGCATATTTTATATGTGCAATTTGATGAGTTAAGTGTACACCTGTGGAACCATTACCACCATTAAGGCTAAAACATATACACCACTTCTATGTTTCTTTCTTGTTGTTGTTGCTGTCTGGTGGTAAGAACACAATATAAGATCTACCCTCTTAGCAAATATTAAATAGTATATGGTATTATTAGTTATAAGCACTGTTCTCTGTAGTATATTCAGAAATTATTTACTTGGTATCATTACCTTGCCTTACCCCTTTCTCTCTCTCCCCAGCTTCTTGAAACCAACATTTTAATCTTTGTTTCAATAAGCTTGACTATTTTAGATTCCTCATATATGGAATGTGTTATCACATAATTTTTATCCTTCAGTACCTGGCTTATTTCACTTAGCATAATGCCCTTCATGTCCATTTATTTTAGCATAAATGGCAGGACTTGTTTTTTTAAAAGCTGCATAATATTTCATTGCATGTATATCCCAAAATTTTTCAAGATTCTTACACATAAACTTAAATGGACTCCACTAAAACTGCTGTTAGTTATCTTGTCAAAAACATATTTTTTTTCAGAAGCCTTGTAAAAAGACTTTACTGAGAACCTATATGCCTCCCATGCACTGAGAGAATACGAGAACATTTTAAGTGTCTTCTTAAATACACCTTTATTATAAGCCTTGTAAAATGTTTCAGGACATGTATGTTTTATTACAATTAAAACTTAATTTTATTTCTTAAGATTTTTATATTTATTTTTCCTTTGGTTTTGTTCTTGGATTATCTAAAGAATAGCAAATCTAAGATTAAAAATTAAAAATTGTTGTCTTTCCCATGTATTTTTCAATCCAATTATTTTCAATCCAATTATTCAATCCAATTATTTACAACTCTTCTGTCAGATGAAGACAATGCATTAAATATTTATTAATAGTAAGAACAGTAAGGTAATTCATATTCTCTTAATGTACAAAGCTTAAAAGAATGCTTAAAATGCTTACTGCATTTTACACAATGACTTAGCACTGTAATTAGTCTTAACATTCCTCCAATATTTCCTGATATCTAAATGGTTTCTGTTACTTCCTAGTGTTCCTACTTTGATTAAAACAAAATCATTCTTTCAAAAATATAGTTGTTAATACAGCTTCTCTCTATATTATTTACCAATAATATAATGGTGTGCTATCAAGACTACACATTTCCTTCCCTGAAATGTAACCTTCAGTGGTGATCCTTGGAGGATATATGATCAGAAAATATTAGATACTAGAGGCCCGATGCATGAAATTCATGCAGGAGTAGGCCTTCCTCCCCCCAGTGCTGGCACCAGCTTTCCTCTGGCACCAGGGACCTGGGCTTCCCTCTGGCTACCAGCAGGCATCCGGAACCCAGGCTTTCTTCTCAGTCCTGGCTTCATCCAGAAGGTCGTCTAGAAGGATGTCTGGTCTAATTAGCATATTATACTCATATTATTATAGATAAACTACACACTACACAGTCAACATTTAATGCCAAATGTGGACAGAAAGAAAATTAAAATCAAGTCTTTATTTGTAACAAATACACAAACTCTTACATACATATAACTTTATGAATTGAATAAAGTTTATATCAATATTCTTTGACAGTGTGCCTTGTAGCTAGCTATCCTGCACTGTCTGATAAAGATGGATAAGGGAGGTAATAAACATCAGGAGTTAAGGCTTTCTCAGTAAAATGTATTCACTGTTATAAGAAAATGACATCAGGAATTGATTGTTAAGTACTTAAAAAAAACCCACAATTTTTATTATTATGATCATCATGTATATGAGATTGCATATTTATCTTATGCTGTTGCACTGGGCCTCTAGTATTCATATAAGATCTTTGGCTAATCTCTTCCCCCGCCCCCCTTTTCCCCTTGTCTCTGAGATTCTTCAGCCTGTTCCATATTTCTATGCCTGTGCATTGAGTATCTGCCCCTTGGTGGTCAGTGTGTGTCATAGCTACTGATTGAACTGTCGAATGGTCACTTAGGCTTTTATATATATATAGATAGATAGATAGATAGATAGATAGATAGAGAGAGAGATAGATCGATAGAAATCACAAAATTTCAAATGAGAAGAGACTTATCTTAAAAAATTTAAGTCTTTGGAAAAGAAGCCTGAAAAAAATTTTTTTAATTCAGAAAATTAAAGCTTTGTAATAGGCCACCTACCATGATAATGATTATTAGGAAACTAAAACTCTTTACTAGGCAAATTTATTAGAAAAATTTTTAAAAAATTAGGAAATTAAGCCTGATTGGTATGATTCATTGGTTGAGTGTTGACCCATGAGCTAGAATGTCACAGTTTCATTTTTGATTAAGACACAAGCTTGGGTTGCAGACTCTATCCTCAGTAGGGGAATGCAGGAGGAAGCCTATTAGTGATTCTCTCTCATAACTGATGTTTCTAACTCTCCCTCTCCCTTCCTTTCTGAAATCAATAAAATAAAAATGTTTTTAAAAATTAGGAAATTAAGAAAGACTCTTTTTTAAAATTGAATTTAGTGAGAGAGAGAGAGAGAGAGAGAGAGAGAGAGAGAGAGAGAGAGAGAGATTTGTTGCTCTAACCATTCATGCATTCATTGGTTGATTCTTGGTGTATGGGAACAATGCTATTACCAACTGAGCTACAGGGCCAAGAAAGACTTTCAGATAACTCTTTGAATCAAAGGGAAATTATAACATATATATAATGAAAAAAGTGATTTAATTCCTATCTAAATATAAACTCCCAATTAGAGTTGTGCTTGGTAAAGAACTTTAGCCTTAAATACTTTTGTTATTTAAGAAAAAAAATGATAAAAATAAACTAAATACTTATCTTAAGAAATTGAAGAAACATTGAAAAAAATTAATAACAATGAAAACTGGAATCATTAAATACAAACATTAAAAGGGTTAAATAAATCAATATTTGATTTTTTTTGAAATGGCCAATAAACATTCTTCAAGGCACAAATTGTGGGAAATATATGGAGTAAGAATATCTAAGATTATAAATGACAAAGTCGAAATAACTCTGGGAACAAGAGAGATGAAATGAAACATACTAGTATGTTACATGCAACTCTTCACCAAAGAAATATGAAAACCCAGAGGAAGGGAATAACTTCCTAGAAAAATTAATATTCAAGAGGGGGTGAAAAACAAATAAACCATTAAATATTAGAAAGCCTTTTGAAGATCTGTTATCAAAAAGCGTCAGAATAGATGGATGCATAGCTGAATTATCGGACATTTAAAGAACTCATAATCATAGTGTATTTAAACTACTGTTTCAATTATAGAAAAAGATAGATCATTTTAAGAATCATAACTTTAATGTTACTAATTAAACATATTTAAAAAACATTTTTAAGGATAATAATGGTTTTATCTCATATTTGGT